GTTTTGGGATTGGTGTTGATTCGATTCCTAACAACTAAATAGTTATTAAAAACGCACTTTAATTCTCGCAATGTGCACGACCGTTTTATAGTATAGATTATGTAAATATGAGGTTGATCCCACGAGAATGGTAACTTGGTTCCAAGTTAATTTCTTAGATGCTATAAAAACATAGAACCAGGAAACTGACTAACTACGCTAAAGGCAAGGTCTATTCAACAATGCCTCTTGTAATTAACTCAAGGTCTAGACAGAATCCTTGCACACACACGCACTCAAAATGGGGGGTTTTGTTGCTGAAATGAAAAGAAAGTGAAATGAAAGTGCTCAAAAGTAAACACTGGCAGCAATCAACAAGTTGTGAAACAAAGATTGAGAGGTTTTAGAGCCTTGGAATCTACCACTAGTCTTCCTATCCAAGTTATGAATGCATAGAAATTGACTCAAGCTTCATCCACAATAGATTATCGCATACAACCTATGGTATCTAGGTGCAGGATGCATGATTCTCCTTAGGCATGTGATTATGCAGGGTATCTACACAAACACGTGATCTCTAAAATGCAACCTAAGCATATACAAGAGTCATAAGCTCCTTGAGAATATGATAATCTCACCCAAGTCCTAGAACATGGTATGTGTCCTAGTCAACCTTGGTTATTAACCCTTGAATGATTCTTAGGCCATTCATGTGTTGCTTGTGAAAGGAGAGTAGAATTGTGGAATCTAACCCCCCTCCCACCTGTCCTAGATGCTAAATACATGCTTTGGTATGGTTTCTTTATGAAAGCTTGACTTTTGTTCATCTTTCTGAGTTCCTGAGCTGATTTGAATCCCTGTATGGCTGCCCCTGTGCAGCACATGGCTCTAGGGAGTTAGCCACATTAAATTTGATGGCAGCCAACACGGACATTTCTGTGAACTTAGTTCGGTCATTGACGTGCTGAGGGCTCCGAAGTTATCCAATTGGGCTGAAATTTGGATATGTTATAATAGACACCCCTTGGAACAACTTCTATCAAGGATGTCTCCTCATCCGACCTGTGTAAGTTGCTGAAATGAGGCCTGCAAGATGACCTACGAACTGGACCGACAAGGAGTGTGGCTCAAATGGTTTTGTCTTTAAACTCATATTCACTTGTGCCACTCAGCCCTTAACAGGCTTGAATTGTATCAAATGTCATCCCTTTCTGTCTTAACCTAGAAAACACACAAACATAGGTAAGAGACTAAAAATAAAGAGAAGCTAAACAAAATTACTAGCACAGAAAGGCATGCAAATGTGTGAAATTATGACCTTATCAATTGGGATTTCACTCAAAACCCAACCAAATGACTCCTCCCACCATATTATGTTGTTCCCCAAGTTTTGGACTCAATCCGATATCGATTGGTCCATGAATTGGACTATTCAGGTCGTAGAAGTTCGTTTTTGAAATGGAGTGGTTGGTGTATTGCATAGTTTTAGCCATTCGGATTTCACTCAAAAACCAACCAATGATTCCTTCCACCATATTATGTTGTTCCCCAAGTTTTGGACTCAATCCGATATCGATTGGTCCATGAAATCGGACAATTTCAGTTCGTAGCAAGTTCGTTCTAAAATGGAGTGGTTGGTGTATTGCATAGTTTTAGAGATTGGATTTCACTCAAAACCCACCAAATGACTCCTCCCACCATATTATGTTGTTCTCCAAGTTTTGGACTCAATCCGATATCGATTGGTCCATGAAATCGGACAATTCAGGTTCGTACGAAGTTCGTTCTGAAATGGAGTGGTTGGTGTATTGCATAGTTTTAGCCATTGGATTTCACTCAAACCCACACAAATGACTCCTCCACCATATTATGTGTTCCCCCCAAGTTTTGGACTCAATCCGATATCGATTGGTCCATGAAATCGGACTATTCAGGTTCGTCCGAAGTTCGTTCTGAAATGGGGTGGGTGGTGTATTGCATAGTTTTAGCCATTGGATTTCACTCAAAACCCACCAAATGACCTCCCCATATTATGTTGTTCCCCAAGTTTTGGACTCAATCCGATATCGATTGGTCCACGAAATCGGACAATTCAGGTTCGTAGCAAGTTCGTTCTGAAATGGAGTGGTTGGTGTATTGCATAGTTTTAACCATTGGATTTCACTCAAACCAACCAAATGACTCCTCCCACCATATTATGTTGTTCCCAAGTTTTGGACTCAATCCGATATCGATTGGTCCATGAAATCGGACAATCAGGTTCGTAGCAAGTTCGTTCTGAAATGGAGTGGTTGGTGTATTGCATAGGTTTAGCCATTGGATTTCACTCAAAACCCACCAAAGACTCCTCCCACCATATTATGTTGTTCCCCAAGTTTTGGACTCAATCCGATATCGATTGGTCCATGAAATAGTTCAATTCAGGTTCGTACGAAGTTCGTTATGAAATGGAGTGGTTGGTGTATTGCATAGTTTTAGAGATTGGATTTCACTCAAAACCACCAACGAAATCCCTAACAATAGATTCAGTGAATGAAACAAGAAGCAGGTTGATGAACTGAATACTTTATTTAGAAACACGGATCAAGGTTGCAAGGCTACATCGAAATCCCTAGCTATGAATTTAGTTACACATCATGTTCACAAAGATTAAAACGAAAATAAACAACATGAGTGAAAATAAATTCATGAGAGGAAACCCTTGAACCAATTCTGATGTTGAACTTCTCCAAGAACAGCCTCCTGCGATGAGTCTTGATGGTGGAAATATATGGGCGGCTAGGGTTTAAGTGTGTGTGAAAGGGGAGAATAACAAAAAGAAGGATGTCTAGGGTTGTGAAATTCGTCCAAAATAAATAGGGTCTGTGAAAGTGGCTAAAAAGGCAAGTTTTTATGGGGTAAAAGAGGCTGTCAGATATTCCAAAGAGATCCTAATAAATCAGCCTTTATTTTGCACGTTTTTGCCTTATTTGGCACCTCCAAATCAGGCTAGAAATCCCCATTACTTTCCCATTCCGCTCTTAGTCTTTAAAACAAGCCAGGTTCGCTTTGGATCTTTATTTGGACTTCAAAACAGGTCACGAAATTTCTTTCCACGTTTGAATAATGGCCAGCTCCAAAAATGACATGTTTTGATTTCTTTTGCCTTCAACTTGATCCTAAAGTAGGTGCAACTGCATACTAACACAAAATAGGGTAAAACGCAACATGTTTAACTCAAAAACATCACAAATAGACTAGAAATGGATGGTATAAATGTATAAATATATGAGTTATCAAATACCCCCAAACCTGATTTTTGCTAGTCCTCGAGCAAAACTGAAACTGAAAACACACAAGACACTAAAATCTAACTAGACCACTTTCGCTGGCTAAACGATTGCACTGAGCATGTGCAACAAGCCTTTAAACCCCTAGGTGTCCCTAGTAGGAGGAGTTGTGTCTCCTGAGGGTTTACAGTGATGACACCCACAAACATCTGCATACTTGCAAGCAAATTGGTTAAAGCATACTTATAGCAAACTAATAAGAACCAATGAAAACTTAGTCATACATTCAAACCACTAGTCTGCCACTTGAAAGAATCATATCATAAAGTGTAAAAAATAATTACTCCATGTCCCATGACTTCAAAGATACCATACTCAAATGCCAAAGATAGAAATCGCCTCAACTCTAGTTCTCACAGATATCACTCAAATTTTCACTCAGATCCTAAGGCACGGTCTCTCCTCAAACATATGTGAGTGAAGTTATGTAAAAGGAAATCAAAATCCTCACATATGAAATATGAAATAAAAGCACAATTTCTGGACAGATCTCATGAAGGGAATCAAACACTAAGAATATGGATAGCACACATACTTAGCATCACTCATGAATACATCCTCAAAGATCAGCTAGGTCTTTCACAAGGTTTGTAATGTTAAGGCTTAGGTCAGGGGCTATGAAAGAAAGGATAGGAAATACTAAAGCTTGGGACATACCAAAGTGTCTTCCTTGTGAAAGCAGCAAGCTCTCCTCTTGAATTGATCTTTGTTGTTTGTTCGTGGCATCCAGGATCGTGCGATAATGGAAGGATTTAGAAATTACATCCTCTTTGATTTTTTTTCTTTTCTTTTCTAAAACTTTGTTTCTTTTTTCTTTCTTTTTTCTACAATTCCAGCACACATACCTCGGTACCCACCACTTTCTTTATGTAGAGCTCGAATTATCTTTGTCTTCCTCACTTTGGTATTCCCCAAACTATAGGGTATAGCTGTAATGGGCTAAATATCTCATATTGAGATAAAAGGATATGGGGGGAAAAAAATGTGAGAAAAGAAAATGGCTAAACATGATTGGCTTCAAAATGGGGTAATGGCACACACATAAAGGTAAGAAATTAGGCCTTTTGGTGGTTAAGACATGCATAGCCTAACATCATCTCAATGAGTTCATTCATGAGTGTTACCAAACACATGGTATCTGCGAAAGAGAACAATTCTTAGCGTTCAATCAAACAAAAATAATGAGATCATTTGAAATGAAGTTGAAGCAAAAAGATAGGAGTACAAACACTTTAAACCCTCTCAAAGAAGTAAATAGGCTCAAAATCACTCTCTAGGGTAGTCTCCACAATTCTTCTTCCAGAATTTGAGCATGATACTTTAACCACCATGATTCCAAGAGTAACAGCTTTGAAAAAAAAATAATAAATAATGATACGAACTTTTTCATGACAACACAGTAGTCCTCATTGTAAACCATAGCCCTCATATACATTCACATTAGTAAGCAAAAGCAAACTTTAACCAAAACTAAAACAAACGAAAATCCCACACCCCAAACCTAAACTAAGCATTGTCCTCGATGCTTAAAAAAATGAATGGAATGGATGCAATGCAAATTGGCAGTGTGCATGGAATGAAATAAAATAAAAACTAAAAACTAACACAAATAAAAGGAAAGAACACAAACCCAGCTAGGTTGCCTCCTAGCAAGCGCTTTATTTAATGTCTAGGCAAGACATGGTAGTGTGTCTAAGTTGTCATAAACTCGAGAGAATCCATAACTACATAAACCTGCTCCTGTGAAACATTCTCCAAATAAGGCTTCAAACGCTGTCCATTGACCTTTAAACGGGTCCCATTCTTGATGTTTTCTATCTCCATAGCTCCATGGGAAATACTTGAAGCACTTTGAATGGTCCCAACCCATCTAGACTTCAATTTACCTGGAAAAAGTCGCAAACGTGAGTCATACAAAAGTACTTTCATACCTGGTTGAAACTCCTTCCTAAGAATTGCTTTGTCATGGTAGAGCTTGGTTCGTTCTTTGTAGATCCTTGCATTCTCATATGATTCATTTCTGAGCTCTTCCAACTCATTGAGTTGGAGCTTCCTCACTGTACCAGCTTCTTTGAGATCAAAATTGAACTTCTTTATGGCCCAATATGCACGGTGCTCGAGCTCCATTGGCAAATGACATGCCTTTCCAAACACCAGTCGATAAGGGCTCATTCCAATTGGGGTCTTGTACGCTGTTGGATACGCCCAAAGTGCATCATTCAACCTTAGTGACCAATCCTTCCTTGTAGGGCTGACGGTTTTCATCAAGATGTTCTTTATTTCTCTATTGCTGATTTCCACTTGTCCAGAGGTTTGAGGATGGTATGGAGTTGCCACTTTATGTGTGATGTTGTACTTCTTCATCAATGCCTCGAAAGGTTTGTTGCAGAAGTGACTGCCACCATCGCTAATGATAGCTCTCGGAGTTCCAAACCTAGTGAAAATCATATCTTTGAGAAAATTCAAAACAACTTTGTGATCATTAGTTCTTGTAGCTGTTGCCTCAACCCCATTTTGATACATAATCTACTGCCACTAGTATGTATATGTATCCAAAAGAAGATGGGAATGGTCCCATGAAGTCAATTCCCACACATCAACAGCTTTACCACTAAAATGTTGTTTAATGGCATTTCATTCCTGCGACTGATGCTCCCCATTTTCTGACACCTATCACACTTAGAGCAAAAATCAAAAGCATCTTTAAACAATGTAGGCCAAAAGAAACCAGATTGTAAACCTTTAAAGCTGTCTTTTTGGCACTGAAATGACCTCCGCATGCCAATGCATGACTGAATGTTAGTATGCTTTGCTGCTCACTCTCCGGAACACATCTTCGAATGATTTGGTCAGGGCAATACTTGAACAAATAGGGGTCATCCCACATGTAGTGTTTCACCATTGAAAAGAACTTCTTTCTCTCCTGAAAAGTCAAATCATCTCTAATTACACCAGAAGCAAGATAATTGACAAAATCAGCATACCATGGCTCTTTATCTTGAATGACAAAGAGTTTTTCATTCGGAATGATTCGTTGAGAGGCAAAATTTGTCCATCTCCATGGTTTTCATCAACAAGGCGCGACAAGTGATCAGCAACAACATTTTCACTCCCTTTCTTGTCTCGAATTTCTAGGTCAAACTCTTGTAACAAGAGTATCCATCTGATCAAACGTGGTTTAGCATCTTTCTTGGTCAACAAAAACCTAAGAGCTGCATGATCAGAGTAAACAATAACTTTAGAGCCAACAAGATATGAACGAAATTTCTCTAAAGCGAAAACAACAGCAAGCAACTCCTTCTCAGTTGTAGAGTAATTGAGTTGAGCATCGTTTAATGTCCGACTTGCATAGTAGATTACGTGTGGCAGCTTATTTACTTTTTGACCTAAAACAGCACCAATAGCATAGTCAGAGGCATCACACATTAGCTCAAAAGGCAAAGACCAATCTGGTGCCATAATGATAGGGGCAGAAGTTAGTTCACGTTTCAAGGTATTAAATGCATTCATACAATCTTTATCAAAGTGAAATACAACATCTTTGGCCAAAAGATTGCACAATGGATGAGTGATCTTGGAAAAATCCTCCTAGAAAGCTTCTCACTCCCTTCATTGAAGTAGGGGCTGCCATATTTGAGATGATGTCAATTTTTGCTTTGTCAACTTCAATACCCTTGCTGGATATTACATGCCCCAACACAACACCTTGTTTCACCATAAATTGACACTTTTCCCAATTGAGAATCAAATTTGTTTCCTGACATCTTTGAAGCACTAGAGAGAGATGGTTAAGACAATTATCAAAAGAAGAACCAAAAATTGAAAAATCGTCCATGAATACCTCAATCAATCATATCTTAAAAGATTGCCAGCATACATCTTTGGAATGTTGTTGGGGCATTGCAAAGGCCAAAAGGCATCCTCCTATATGCAAAAGTGCCAAAAGGACAGGTGAATGTAGTCTTCTCTTGATCTTCCGGAGCAATCGCAATTTGATTTTAACCTGAATATCCATCAAGAAAACAATAATATGCGTGACCAGCTAATCGCTCAAGCATTTGATCAATAAAAGGCATAGGAAAATAATATTTTCTAGTGTCTGAATTCAACTTCCTGTAATCGGTGCAAACACACCAACTAGCTGCAGGTCTCGTTTGAACAAGCTCTTTATGCTCATTTTTTACCACTGTGATTCCAATCCTCTTAGGCACTACGTGAACAGCGCTGACCCATTTGCTATCAGAAATCGGGTATATGATACCCACATCTAGCAACTTCAACACTTCAGCTCTCACTACTTCCTTCATGTGTGGATTGAGCCTTCTTTGTGGTTCACGAGTTGGTTTCGCTCCTTCCCCAATAAAATTCGATGCATGCACATGGTAGGGCTTATTCCCTTGATATCTGCAATAGACCAACCAATGGCTGATTTGAACTCTTTTAGCACCCTAATTAGCTTATCTTCTTCCAAAGGGGTGAGGTCAGATGCTATGATAACTGGGAGAGTTTCAAACTCAGCTAGGTAAGCATATTTTAGATGTGATGGAAGTGGTTTAAGCTCAAGTTTTGGGGGTTTAACAACAGAAGGGATCAGATGTGTGGCAGATGGTCCCTAATGGCTCTATAAGAGGTGAAAAAGTGGAGGGATATGGTTTTAATGCTTCCAAGGCAGCCACCATCTCCATGAGCACTTCTTCATCAAATGATCTTGAGATTGACTCAAAACATATTGTAATGGATCATTGGATTGTGCCAGCAAAAACTTAGAGAAAACAAGTGAATCAAGCACATCAATCGAACAACAATCAATTGAACTAGAAGGGTGAGAAAGATTCAAACACTTTGAATTGTACAGTTTCTCCTAGCACAGTCATGGTGAGGAGACCATTTTGCACATCTATGATAGTCTTTGCCGTGGCCATAAAGGGTCTCCCAAGCAAAATAGGTAACTCACGATCATGTATAGGAGCCTCTTCCATGTCCAACACTACAAAATCAGCAGGCAAAATTAGTTTGTCAACTTGAACTAAGATATCTTCCACTATACCTCTTGGATATTTCACTGATCGATCGCAAGTTGCAATGAAATAGTTTGTTTGCCTTCAAACCCCCCCAAACCTAATTGAAGGTACACTGAATAGGGCATTAAATTGATGCTCGCCCCCAAGTCAAGCATAGCCTTTTCAACTCGCTTGTCTCCAATGGTGATATTGATAGAAAATTGCCTGGATCCTTGAGTTTTGGTGGGAGCTTTCTTTGAAGCACAGCACTCACATTTTCAGACACCATCACCTTCTCCTTAGGTCCATACTTCCTCTTATAAGTGTTTAGCTCCTTGAAAAATTTCCCATACGCTGGCATATTCCTAATGACATCAAGTAAAGTTAAATTAACATTCACTTTACTTAAAATATAAAAATTTCTTTAAATGACTTATCCTGCTTGCTTTTGGCAAGTCTTCCAGGAAATGGGATTGGAGGAGTGTAAGGTTTTTTAGCCTTGTGAAAATTTGGAGCTTCATATGAAGAAGTGGAATTGCTTGGATCTCCATTCAGTTTCTCATTCTCTTCTTGAGTGGGGCCTGCATTTACATGATCAGATTCATTAGTAACTTCATTGCCAACTCCATTATTAATAACCTTACCACTTCTAAGTGTTATGACCGCTTTGGCTTGCTCTTGGTTCCTTTGAAGTATCACCAGTTGGCTTGGAAATTTCCCGGGTTCTCTTTGACTCAAAGCATTAGCAATCTGACCTAATTGTGTCTCCATTTTGGTTATAGCAGCTGAATGTTGTTGGAGAGTACTATTGGTAGTTTGCTGGAATTGAACGGTGTTTTGAGCTAGCATTTTGACAGTATCTTCAAGCGTAGTGGCAGGCTTTGGTTGGAAATTTTGAAATTGATTGTTATTCTTCCACGAGAGATTGGGAGATCTCTCCAACCAGGTTATATGTATTAGAGAACGGGTCATTCCTCGGCCTCTGATTGTAAGAATTCATGAGATTCACTTGCTCTTGAACGAATTCGGGATAAACCTCACTAGCTGAGCATTGATAAGTAGGATGACCTGGTATGTTGCAAATGGCACACACCTCAGCTATCTTAGGTGCCATATTGAGCACAAAATCAATATTCTTTTCCAAACTAGCCACCTGCAAGGCAAGATCATTATTAGAACTCATTTCATACATTCCAACTTGTTTACCTCTTGTATCTTTGTGTTGAGCATTAGATCCCAACTTCTCATAAATGTTATATGACTCTTGAGCATTTTTCTTCTTCAAAGCTCCACCTGCTGCATTATCCACAGTTGATTGACATGTTTGGGTTAGTCCATCATAAAAAAATTGCATTTGTAAGTAAAGAGGTAACCCATGATGTGGACATTGCAGCAACAGCCCTTTGAAACGCTCCCAACATTCATTGAAAGGTTCTCCATCATCTTGTTTAAAGTTAAAGATTTGCCCTCTCAAAGTAGCTGTCTTTTGAGTAGAGAAAACTTCTCCAAAATTTCTTAGCTACGGCATCCCAAGTGGTGAGCGAACCAGGTGTTAAAGTCATTAGCCATTCTTTGCTCTATCTTTCAATGTATAAGGAAAACCCCTCATCCTCAGATTTGCTTCACTCACTCCCTGCAAAGGTAAACCACTCACAACATTGTAGAATTCCTTAATATGGGATAATGGATCTTCATTAGGTAAACCATAAAAAGAAGGAAGCATGTGAAAATGAGAAGATTTGAGTTCATAATTTCTAGCTTCAGTAGGCAGCAAGATGCATGAAGGTGAATTTGGTATAATCGGTTGAGCATAATCTTCCAAAGCTCGGTGTCATCGTTATTGCCAGCCATCTCTTCTTCTCCGTCAGAATTAGAGTTATCAAAAGAATCTACACTCGCTGGGCTAGAAGAACTATTGTCCTCTTCTACACGGCTAGTTGGGCACTAGCTTATGCAGAATTCTCAAAAGGGTTGCTCTTTAACCGTTCAAGTCTTTGGCCTATCTCAGCAAGTGTATCTGACATATACTACCTGAGAAACAAAAATAAAACTAAATTAGGGTTTGAGAACAAGCAATTATAGAGGACTAAAATCAGTCCCCAGCAACGACGCCAAAATTTTGTTGTGTTCCTTCCAAGTGCCAATATATGGTTAGTATAATGGTACAAGTAAGGGTGTCGAACCACAGGGATCGATTGGACCTCTATAAATTACTAGTTTTGAAAGAACCCTAACTAAAAGTGAAAGTGACAAATTGAGAGTAGTTTGTGTTGTAAATGAAAGATAACTTAAAATGCAAGAAGAATGTAGCAGCGAATGATATATTGATGTAAGAAGAATAGGGATGAGACCAGGGATTTCGAATTCACCATTGCAAAACCAATTCCATGTTTATAAAAGTTAAACCGTATTCAACTACCAACCTGTTTCCAGAGTTCGTTTTACATATATATGATCAGCCATATGATGTGTGGTTTTGATCAAATTCTCCTAATCTGCAACCTAATTGGGATGTTCAACTTTGGTTCCAAGTTAAGAGTCATTAGCATGCAAGAAAACGTTAAAGAACCAAAGAAAACACATGGCAGGATGTTTGCATAGCATTCTCTTCATTCATTCACATGTCTACCAAGATTAAGCATGATGTTTACAATAACCTTGACAGATAATCTGTAGGCAACCCTAATGGTGATCAAACATTAAAATTGACAAACAAATTTAACAATAGATTCAGTGAATGAAACAAGAAACAGATTGATGAACTGAATACTTTAACTTAGAAACATGGATCAAGGTTGCAAGGCTACATCGAAATCCCTAGCTATGAATTTAGTTACACATCATGTTCACAAAGATTAAAACGAAAATAAACAACATGAGTGAAAATAAATTCATGAGAGGAAACCCTTGAACCAATTCTGATGTTGAACTTCTCCAAGAACAGCCTCCTGCGATGAGTCCTGATGGTGGAAATATATGGGCGGCTAGGGTTTTAGTGTGTGTGAAAGGGGAGAATAACAAAAAGAAGGATGTCTAGGGTTGTGAAATTCGTCCAAAATAAATAGGGTATGTGAAAGTGGCTAAAAGGCAAGTTTTTATGGGGTAAAAGAGGCTGCCAGATATTCCAAAGAGATCCTAATAAATCAGCCTTTATTTTGCACGTTTTTGCCTTATTTGGCACCTCCAAATCAGGCTAGAAATCCCCATTGCTTTCCCATTCTGCTCTTAGTCTTCAAACAAGCCAGGTTCGCCTTGGATTCTTTATTTGGACTTCAAAACAGGTCACGAAACTTGTTTCCACGTTTGAATAAGGGCCAGCTCCAAAAATGGCATGTTTTCATTTCTTTTGCCTTCAACTTGATCCTAAAGTAGATGCAACTGCATACTAACACAAAATAGGGTAAAACGCAACAAATTTAACTCAAGAACATCACAAATAGACTAGAAATGGATGGTATAAATGTATAAATATATGAGTTATCACCATCAAATCGAACAATTCAGGTTCGTAGAAGTTCGTTCTGAAATGGAGTGGTTGGTGTATTGCATAGTTTCAGCCATTGGATTTCACTCAAAACCCACCAAATGACTTCTCCCACCATATTATGATGTTCCCCAAGTTTTGGACTCAATCCGATTTCGATTGGTCCATGAAATTGGACAATTCAGGTTGGTTCGAAGTTCGTTCTGAAATGGGGTGGATGGTGTATTGCATAGGTTTAGCCATTGGATTTCACTCAAAACCCACCAAAAGACTCCTCCCACCATATTATGTTGTTCCCCAAGTTTTGGACTCAATCCGATATCGATTGGTTCATGAAATCGTTCTATTCAGGTTCGTACGATGTTTGTTCTGAAATGGAGTGGTTGGTGTATTGCATAGTTTTAGAGATTGTATTTCACTCAAAACCCACCAAATGACTCCTCTCACCATATTATAATTTTGGTCCATGAAATTGGACAATTCATGTTCGTACGCAGTTCGTTCTGAAATGGAGTGGTTGGTGTATTGCATAGTTTTAGCCGTTGGATTTCACTCAAAACCCACCAAATGACTCCTCCCACCATATTATGATGTTCCCCAAGTTTTGGACTCAATCCGATATCGATTGGTCCATGAAATAGGACTATTCAGGTTCGTACGAAGTTCGTTCTGAAATGGGGTGGTTGGTGTATTGCATAGTTTTAGCCATTGGATTTCACACAAAACCCACCAAATGACTCCTCCCACCATATTATGTTGTTCCCCAAGTTTTGGACTCAATCCGATATCGATTGGCCCATGAAATCGGACAATTCAGTTTCGTACGAAGTTCGTTCTGAAATGGAGTGGTTGGTGTATTGCATAGTTTTAGCCATTGGATTTCACTCAAAACCCACCAAATGACTCCTCCCACCATATTATGATGTTCCCCAAGTTTTGGACTCAATCCGATATCGATTGGTCCAAGAAATCGAACTATTCAGGTTCGTACGAAGTTCGTTCTGAAATGGAGTGGTTGGTGTATTGCATAGTTTTAGAGATTGGATTTCACTCCAAACCAACCAAATGACTCCTCCCACCATATTATGTTGTTCCCCAAGTTTTGGACTCAATCCGATATCGATTGGTCCATGAAATCGGACTATTCAGGTTTGTACGAAGTTCGTTCTGAAATGGAGGGGTTGGGGTATTGCATAGTTTTAGCCATTGGATTTCACTCACAAACCCACCAAATGACTCCTCCCACCATATTATGATGTTCCCCAAGTTTTGGACTCAATCCGATATCGATTGGTTCATGAAATCGAACTATTCAGGTTCGTAGGAAGTTCGTTCTGAAATGGAGTGGTTGGTGTATTGCATAGTTTTAGCCATTGGATTTCACTCAAAACCAACCAAATGACTCCTCCCACCATATTATGTTGTTCCCCAAGTTTTGGACTCAATCCGATATCGATTGGTCTAAGAAATCGGACTATTCAGGTTCGTACGAAGTTTGCTCTGAAATGGAGTGGTTGGTGTATTGCATTGTTAGATATTGGATTTCACTCAAAACACACCAAATGACTCCTCCCACCATATTATGATGTTCCCCAAGTTTTGGACTCAATCCGATTTCGATTGGTCCTTTGAAATCGGACTATTCAGTTTCGTACGAAGTTCGTTCTGAAAATGGAGTGGTTGGTGTATTGCATAGTTTTAGACATTGGATTTCACTCAAAACCAACCAAATGACTCCTCCCACCATATTATGAGTTTCCCAAGTTTTGGACTCAATCCGATATCGATTGGTCCATGAAAGAGGACAATTCAGGTTCGTACGAAGTTCGTTCTGAAATGGAGTTGTTGGTGTATTGCATAGTTTTAGCCATTGGATTTCCCTCAAAACCCACCAAATGACTCCTCCCACCATATTATGATGTTCCCCAAGTTTTGGACTCAATCCGATATCGATTGGTCCATGAAATTGGACAATTCAGGTTCGTACGAAGTTCGTTCTGAAATGGAGTGGTTGGTGTATTGCATAGTTTTAGAGATTGGATTTCACTCAAAACCCACCAAATGACTCCTCCCACCATATTATGATGTTCCCCAAGTTTTGGACTCAATCCGATATCGATTGGTCCATGAAATCGGACAATTCAGGTTCGTACGAAGTTCGTTCTAAAATGGAGTGGTTGGTGTATTGCATAGTTTTAGCCATTGGATTTCACCCAAAACCAACCAAATGACTCCTCCCACCATATTATGTTGTTCCCCAAGTTGTGGACTCAATCCGATGTCGATTGGTCCATGAAATCGGACAATTCAGGTTGGTTCGAAGTTCGTTCTGAAATGGGGTGGTTGGTGTATTGCATAGTTTTAGCCATTGGATTTCACTCAAAACCCACCAAATGACTCCTCCCACCATATTATGATATTCCCCAAGTTTTGGACTCAATCTGATTTTGATTTGTCCATGAAATCTGACAAATTTAGGTTCGTACAAAGTTCGTTCTGAAATGGAGTGGTGTGTATTGCATGGTTTTAGAGATTGGATTTCACTCAAAACCCACCAAATGACTCCTCCCACCAAATTATGGTGTTCCCCAAGTTTTGGACTCAATCCGATATGGATTGGTCCACGAAATAGGACATTCATGTTTATACGCAGTTCGTTCTGAAATGGAGTGATTGGTGTATTGCATAGTTTTAGTCATTTGATTTCTCTCAAAACCCACCAAATGACTCCTCCCACCATCATTATGATGTTCCCCAACTTTTGGACTTTATTCGATATTGATTTGTCCATGAAATAGAACAATTCAGGTTCGCACGAAGTTCATTATGAAGTGTAATGGTTGGTGTATTGCATAGTCCAAGAGACTGCATTTCACTCAAAACCCCCCAAATGACTCCTCGCACCATATTATGATGTTCCCCAAGTTTTGGACTCAATCCGATATCGATTGGCGTACGAAATCGGACAATTCAGGTTCGTACAAGTTCGTTTTGAAATGGAGTGGTTGGTGTATTGCATAGTTTTGGCCATTGGATTTCATTCAAAACCCACCAAATGACTGCTCCCACCATATTATGATGTTCTCCAAGTTTGGACTCAACCCGATATCGATTGGTCCATGAAATCGGACAATTCAGGTTGGTCCAAGTTCGTTCTGAAATGGGGTGGTTGTGTTGTATTTGCACATTGGATTTCACTCTCAATCAAAAAAAAAAAAATTCCTCCCACAGTCCTCCTCCCATGATGTTCCCCAAGTTTTGGACTCAATCCGATATCGATTGGTCCATGAAATCGGACTATTCAGGTTCGTAGGAAGTTCGTTCTAAAATGGAGTGGTTGGTGTATTGCATAGTTTTAGAGATTGGATTTCACTCAAAAACCAACCAAATGACTCCTCCCACCATATTATGTTGTTCCCCAAGTTGTGGACTCAATCCGATATCGATTGGTCCATGAAATCGGTCAATTCAGGTTCGTAGGAAGTTCGTTCTGAAATGGAGTGGTTGGTGTATGGAATTGTTTTAGAGATTGGATTTCACTCAAAACCCCCCAAATGACTCCTCCCACCATATTATTATGTTCCCCAAGTTTTGGACTCAATCCGATATCGATTGGTCCATGAAATCGGACAAATTCAGGTTCGTACGAAGTTCGTTCTGAAATGGAGTGGTTGGTGTATTGCATAGTTTTAGCAGATTGGATTTCACTCAAAACCAACCAAATGACTCCTCCCACCATATTATGTGTTCCCCAAGTTTTGGGCTCAATCCGATATCGATTGGTCCATGAAATCGGACAATTCAGGTTCGTACGAAGTTCGTTTTGAAATGGAGTGGTTGGTGTATTGCATAGTTTTAGCCATTGGATTTCACTCCAAACCACCCAAATGACTTCTCCCACCATATTATGTTGTTCCCCAAGTTTTGAACTCAATCCGATATCGATTGGTCCATGAAATCGGACAACTAAGGTTCGTACGAAGTTCGTTCTAAATTGGAGTGGTTGGTGAATGGAGTTGTTCTAGGGATTGGATTTCACTCAAACCCCCCAAATGACTCCTCCCACCATATTATGTTGTTCCCCAAGTTTTGGACTCAATCCGATATCGATTGGTCCATGAAATCGGACTATTCAGGTTCGTAGGAAGTTCGTTCTGAAATGGAGTGGTTGGTGTATTGCATAGTTTTAGAGATTGGATTTCACTCAAAACCAACCAAATGACTCCTCCCACCATATTATGTTGTTCCCCAAGTTTTGGACTCAATCCGATATCGATTGGTCCATGAAATCGGTCTATTCAGGTTCGTAGGAAGTTTGTTCTGAAATGGAGTGGTTGGTGTATTGCATAGTTTTAGACATTGGATTTCACTCAAAAAAAACAAACCAAATGACTCCTCCCACCATATTATGTTGTTCCCCAAGTTTTGGACTCAATCCGATATCGATTGGTCCATGAAATCGGACTATTCAGGTTTGTAGGAAGTTCGTTCTAAAATGGAGTGGTTGGTGTATTGCATAGTTTTAGCCCTTGGATTTCACTCAAAACCAACCAAATGACTCCTCCCACCATATTATGTTGTTCCCCAAGTTTTGGACTCAATCCGATATCGATTGGTCCATGAAATCGGACTATTCAGGTTCGTAGGAAGTTCGTTCTGAAATGGAGTGGTTGTTGTATTGCATAGTTTTAGAGACTGGATTTCACTCAAAACCAACCAAATGACTCCTCCCACCATATTATGTTGTTCCCCAAGTTTTGGACTCAATCCGATATCGATTGGTCCATGAAATCGGACTATTCAGGTTCGTAGCAGTTCGTTCTGAAATGGAGTGGTTGGTGTATTGCATGGTTTAAGAGATTGGATTTCACTCAAAACTGTTGAGCCTATTCTTAACAACTAAAATGAGTTATTAAAAACAGCAACTTTAATTCTCGTAAGTGCACGAACCGTTTATAGTATAGCTTATGTAAATACGAGGTCGATCCCACGGAGAATGGTAACTTGGTTCCAAGTTAAATTACTTAGAATGCTAGAAAAACATAAAACAAAGAAACTGACTAACTTGCTAAAGGCAAGGTCGAATTCAACAATGCCTCTTGCTAATTACTCAAGGTCTAGGACAGAATCCTAGCACCACACACGCACTCGAAATGGGGGGTTTTGGTTGTTGAAATGAAAAGAAGAACGTGAAATGAAAGTGCTCGAAAGTAAACACTGGCAGCAGTCAACAAGTTGTGAAACAAAGATTGAGAGGTGTTAGAGCCTTGGAATCTACCACTAGTCTTCCTATCCAAGTTATGAATGCATAGAAATTGACTCAAGCTTCATCCACAATAGATGATCGCATACAAGCCTATGGTATCTAGGTGCAGGATGCATGATTCTCCTAAGGCATGTGATTATGCATGGTATCTACACAACACGTGATCTCTAATATGCAACCTAAGCATGGTATCTACTTAGAATAAAGCATACAAGAGTCATTAAGCTCCTTGAGAATATGATAATCACACAAGTCCTAGAACATGGTATCTGTCCTAGTCAACCTATGGTTATTAACCCCTTGAATGATTCTTAGGCCATTCATGTGTTGCTTGTGAAAGGAGAATAGAATTGGTGAATCTAAACCCCTTCCCAACCTGTGCTAGATGCATAAAATATTAGTTAGCTACTCCAAGAAAACATACATCAAGCACATAATAAACTAGAGATTAACAACTTGATAATGAAAGCAAGGAAATCAATTAACTATAAAATCATCCATAACATTGAATATTCATGACTAGGGCTTCATCCTAAGCCCTAACTAAATGGATTAGTTAGACATAACTATGAATACAGAAAATAAGAAATACATAGATAGGATAAAGAGAGGAGAAGAACTAGATGATCACAGCAAGGAATTCCCAGGACAGCTCCAGCTCCTTATCTCTTTGTGGTGAATCTGAATGTGTGTTTGAGAGTAATGGGTGAAGTGAATGTGTGTGTCTGCCTATCTCTATTGAATGAGTGTGCAGCTCTCTATTTATAGAGAGAAATTTCGTCCTCCCCTTTGGCTGGTGAAGCACACCTCTCTTAGCTGCTCCCAACTGCTCCCATCTGCCCATACTTGCCACTTGCTCCAGCTGCCCATACTTGCCAACTGCTCCAGCTGCCAAATACATGCTTTGGTATGGTTTCTTTATGGAAAGCTTGACTTTTGTTCATCTTTCTGAGTTTCCTGAGCTGATTTGACCCCCATGTATGGCTGCCCATGCTTAGCACATGGCTCTAGGGATGTAGATGTGATGGCAGCCAATCATGACATTTCTGTGAACTTGGTTCAGTATTTGACGTGCTGAGGGCTCCAGATTTATCCAATTGGGCTGAAATTTGGATATGTTATAATAGACACCCATTGGAACAACTTTATCAAGGATGTCTCCTCATCCGACCCGTGTAAGTTGCTGAAATGAGGACTGCAAGATGACCCACGAAACTGGACTGACAAGGAGTGTGGCCCAAATTGGGTTTGTCCTTAAGCTCATATTCCTCTTATCCCAATCAGCCCTTATCAAGCATGGATTGCATCAAATGTGATCTCTTGCTGTCTTAACCTACAAAACACACACACATAGGTAAGAGACTCAAAATAAAGAGAAGCTAAACAAAATTACTAAGCAAAGAAGGCATGCAAATGTGTGAAATTATGACCTTATCAAATACCCCCAAACTTAGATTTTGTTAGTCCTCGAGCAAAACAAAGGAAAAATACCATTTAGAAAACAGGAAATAAGCTGCTAGCCTTCCAAACAATTTCCTCAAAGAATCACCGAAATATATGGTTCCAAAGAAACACAACAATCACAATCTAAGTTCCACACATGATTCAAGGGTAACCAAGGCTCACAATGACATCCTTAAGTGTAGTGTGTGAATGCCAAATCAGAACAACACCTGCAACTCAAATAAGTACATGCACACACACTTAGAGCAAAATCAAAAATTCCGAACCCCATAAGCTCATTATCCAATCTGCTCTCCACATAATACCATGCAACACCAAGGATCAAAAGGACTTTACAAGGGTAGTAATGAGGTTTAGGGTAGTGGTTGAATGAAAGAAGGGATATGAGATATACAATATTTTGAGCATAATTAAGGCATAGGTAAGAGCATAAGAGATTACTGAACTTTGTAACAAGCAAGGAACACATACATGAGCAGATTTTCAACATAATTTCAGCACCTTCATATATGTTTATTTGGCCTAATTTTGTGGCTCTTTACCCTAGATCACCATGATCTTCTCTTTTATAACACCCTAGGGCCGTGACTACATTGGTCACACTTCATTACCTCTTTTGATTAGTTACCAATACCCCCAAACTTATTTCTTTTCAACACTTGGGTTATGGCACTAATGATTCATTTTTGCTCCAAAAACCTTGCATTCTATTTAACTCTCTTTTGAAGATAGCTTTAATTGCTTATAGAATAAGTAAGAATAAGAAAACAGAGGTTCATAATGGTAGGAATGGTTTACACAAAGAAGGGCTTAACGTTGGCTCAAATGGGTTTACTAGGGATGAATACATGTAGAGGATGGTTAGAAAGGCTCAAACGGTTCAAACATGGCCTAAATCACTTCCTAAGCATTGTATGGCAACAAAATGTCTCAAGAGATATTCAAATAAGTTCTAGAGTACAAAACCAAGATCATGAGATAAGTAGAATTGCATAACGTCTCTAAGTAACAAGAAATTGGACTAACTTGGCAAAGTGCTCAATAAGTGCAAGGATGGCATGCAAGACAGAGTTAACTCAGAACCACACAAAGTCCTTAAACAATGACTATCAATTTCTGAGAAACCATAATAGTATTAGATCCAAGTCTTATCAAAGGTGTTTGGAAGGATAACGAAACAAGACACAAAATCCTGCGTTTTTGGCCATTAGACACACTCAAAATTTTAAAATTTGACAATTTGAAACAACATAACTAAATCCTTCCCCCCAAACTTAAATGAAACATTGTCCTCAATGTTTAGAGTGTAAGAAAAAGCAATGCCTCATAAATGAAAGGAAAGAAGATAAGGGAAAGACATAAGCAAAGGTTAGAGTTCAGAAAAACTCCCCTTTGAAGCGATTAGGACAAGCAGGCTTCCTTGCATGTTCTGTCCTTCCACCCAAACTTAAATGAAATCGGACAATTCAGGTTCATAGGAAGTTCATTCTGAAATGGAGTGGTTGGTATATTGCATAGTTTTAGCCATTGGATTTCACTCAAAACCAACCAAATGACTCCTCCCCCCATATTATGATGTTCCCCATGTTTTGGACTCAATCCGATACCGATTGGTCCATAAAATTGAAAAATTCAGGTTCGTAGAAAGTTCGTTATGAAATGGAGTGGTTGTTGTACTACATAGTTTTGCCATTTGGATTTCACTCAAAATCAACCAAATGACTCCCACCATATTATGATGTTCCCAAGTTTTGGACTCAATCCGATGTCGATTGGTCGTTGAAATCGTACAATTCATGTTCGTAGGAAGTTCGTTATGAATTGGAGTGGTTGGTGTATTGCATAGTTTTAGCCATTGGAATTCACTCAAAACCAACCAAATGACTTCTCCCACCATATTATCGATTGATCCATGAAATCGGACAATTCAGGTTTGTAGGAAGTTTGTTATGAAATGGAGTGGTTTGTGTATTGTATAGTTTTAGCCACTGGATTTCACTCAAAACCAACCAAATGACTCCTCCCACCATATTATGTTGTTCCCCAAGTTTTGGACTCAATCCGATATCGATTGGTCCATGAAATCGGACAATTCAGGTTCGTACGCAGTTCGTTCTAAAATGGAGTGGTTGTTGTATTGCATAGTTCTAGAGATTGGATTTCACTCAAAACCAACCAAATGACTCTTCCCACCACATTATGTTGTTCCCCAAGTTTTGGACTCAATCCGATATCGATTGGTCCATGAAATCGAACAATTCAGGTTCGTAGGAAGTTCGTTCTGAAAAGGAGTGGTTGGTGTATTGCATAGTTTTAGCAATTGGATTTCACTCAAAACCAACCAAATGACTCCTCCCACCATATTATGTTGTTCCCCAAGTTTTGGACTCAATCCGATATCGATTGGTCCATGAAATCGGACAATTCAGGTTCGTAGGAAGTTCGTTCTGAAATGGAGTGGTTGGTATATTGCATAGTTTTAGCCATTGGATTTCACTCAAAACCAACCAAATGACTCCTCCCCCCATATTATGGTGTTCCCCAAGTTTTGGACTCAATCCGATATCGATTGGTCCATGAAATCGGAAAATTCAGGTTCGTAGGAAGTTCGTTCTGAAATGGAGTGGTTGTTGTATTGCATAGTTTTAGCCATTGGATTTCACTCAAAACAAACCAAATGACTCCACCCACCATATTATGATGTTCCCCAAGTTTTGGACTCAATCCGATATCGATTGGTCCATGAAATCGGACAATTCAGGTTCGTAGGAAGTTCGTTCTGAAATGGAGTGGTTGGTGTATTGCATAGTTTTGACCTTTGGATTTCACTCAAAACCAACCAAATGACTCCTCCCACCATATTATGATGTTCCCCAAGTTTTGCACTCAATCCGATGTCGATTGGTCATTGAAATCGTACAATTCATGTTCGTAGGAAGTTCGTTATGAATTGGAGTGGTTGGTGTATTGCATAGTTTTAGCCATTGGAATTCACGCAAAACCAACCAAATGACGCCTCCCACCATATTATGGTGTGCCCCAAGATTTGGCCTCAATCCGATATCAATTGGTCCACGAAATCGGACAATTCAGGTACGTACGCCATTTGTTCGGAAATGAGTGGTTGGTGTATTTCATAGTTCTAGAGATTGGATTTTACTCAAAACCACCAAATGACTCCTCCCACCATATTATGTTGTTCCCCAATTTTTGGACTTAATCCAATATCGATTGGTCCATCAAATGGGACAATTCAGGTTCGTACGCACTTCGTTCTGAAATGGAGTGGTTGGTGTATTCCATAGTTTTAGAGATTGGATTTCACTCAAAACCAACCAAATGACTCCTCCCACCATATTATGTTGTTCCCCAAGTTTTGGACTCAATCCGATATCGATTGGTCCACGAAATCGGACAATTCCGGTTCGTACGCAGTTCGTTCTGAAATGGAGTGGTTGGTGTATTTCATAGTTTTAGGCATTGGATTTCACTCCAAACCAACCAAATGACTCCTCCCACCATATTATGTTGTTCCCCAAGTTTTGGACTCAATCCGATATCGATTGGTCCATGAAATCGAACAATTCAGGTTCGTAGGAAGTTCGTTCTGAAATGGAGTGGTTGGTGTATTGCATAGTTTTAGCCATTGGATTTCACTCAAAACCAACCAAATGACTCCTGCCACCATATTATGTTGTTCCCCAAGTTTTGGACTCAATCCGATATCGATTGGTCCATGAAATCGGACAATTCAGGTTCGTAGGAAATTCGTTCTGAAATGGAGTGGTTGGTGTATTGCATAGTTTTAGCCATTGGATTTCACTCAAAACCAACCAAATGACTCCTCCCAACAAATCATGATGTTTCCCAAGTTTTGGACTCAATATGATATCGATTGGTTCAAGCGGTTCCTTCGAGCATAACTAGAAGTTGCAAGCGGTTAATCCGATATCATTGAAGAAATTTGAGGGGTTTTAAAGAGGAACCGTGGCTTTTCTCAGAAGTTGCAAGCGGTTCCTCCGAGCATAACCAACTAGCGGTTATGGACGAGACCTCCCTGTGATTTCTCGTTTTCAAAGGGTTCTCCAGACCTGTGTGTGAGAAGGAACCAGTGAAAATCGAAAAGGGGCAACCGGTTTTAGGCTTGCGTGCACAGAAGAAAGAGGTTAGAGAATGAAAAGGAAAAAGAGACCGCTGGAAAATAATCATGGCAGCACATACTCGGGAAACGAGAAGGTCACATCAGCAGCATCGATTTGATTTTGCTTTTGGGCCGGGTTTGATTATTTGACCCATCTCAAAGCTGCTCATGGCCCCAATAATCAAGGGGGCTAATGTTGAGGCCCAAAAATCCAAGGGGCTAAACCCAAATTAATCCTTGGCCCAACACAGGTGATCGAATGCAAAATAGGCTCAATCGGGACAAAAGATAATTTATGGGACCCGCCAATGTGAGCTATAAGCCACGTATCATGCCAAGCAAGCACGCGCAAAGGGGCCAAGAGCATGCTAACATTGCGAAATCACACTTACATATCCCTTCGATGCTACTTGGCCCAATTATAGCCCATTGCGGCATAATAAAATCCAAGCATAAGCATAGGCCTCACACAAGAAAAAGCATTATTCTAATACCAAGTTGTGCCACGAGCATAAGTGGACCCAGGCCACAAGATCAACCGGGGCTTACTAAGAGGGTTGTGGTATGGAAGGAAACGAGCAATCACAGGGCCCATTGAGGGTTCAGGGGACGTAAGTTTTTTAGCCACTTGGGGGGCTTTAAAACTCAAGCCCGCTCCTGGAACCCAAGCACATGGGTTAGCATGAGAGAGAAGAGAAAATTGCCCATGCTCTAGGAAGACAACAAGTAACCTATTAGAATATTTAGCCCACCCACATCAATAGAGTGCCCCAAAGAAATTAGCAAAAGCCCTTTCCAGCAGTTTGACGAAAATCCATTAGAAATAATAGGCCAGCAACCCAACGTTATGCACAAGCCCAGTCCAGCAACTTGTGGAAAAGTTGTCATCGTGTTCCACCTCTGAGAAGACTCCACACAAGTGAGACAAAGGACCAAGGAAAGAACCAGCAGAAATTCATGGGTAAATGGCAAATATCCATCGGACAAAAGGCTCCATCCATCTCTTTCCCCATTACAAGCTCTATTTTGAAAATGTTGAGGAAAAGCAAGGTGGCGCCTCACCCTTGTGGGGAGGTCCAGATGCATCAAAGTCGTTGGAACCACAATGGTTCCTTTCCCATATGTCTTGATAGGAGAATTGCACCGAAATAGGACTAAGTAAGGAGCTGCCAAGGGAAAAGGAAGAGGAAGTCCAGACAAAGTTAGGGTTCTTCACGCCTATAAAAGGAGGCTTTTTGCTACCCAGAAAACCAACCATTCAGAGGCCTGACCAAGCTTTGTCAAAGCATCTGAGAATTCACTCAAGACACCCAATCTCCTCTTTCGTTCGTTTTCTTCTCCCTCTTAGGATAGGAATCGTTCTAATCTTGCTCTGCTCACTTCAGGCTCTGGTTCTCTATAGGAAATTCATGTCTTTCTCTCTCTCTCTCAAATTGCTAAACTTGTGAAAGCTTAGCTCCCATGCCACAGGCTCCTCAGGCTAAGCCATTATGCTTATTTGGGTGTTAGTAAAGTAATCCCAAGAGTGTTCTTTTAAAATCTAATCAGATTTTCTAAAAACTCTTTTGGGAGCTTGTTTTTGAACTCAGGCATTTGGGGGATTTTGTTCGTCGTCTTCTTACAGCAGCCCAAGCCCATTCGTCAGGCTGCTGGAACAAAAAAAAACCCCCTACATAAATTGGTGACTCTGCTGGGGAACAAGCTGCCATTTTACTGATGCCTCCAAAGAAGAAAACCAGGAGCAATACCATGGCCTCCCAAGATGGACTCGACCATGGTGAATCCGAATCAAGGCAAATGCCTCTTCTAGGGGACAAGAACATGCAAGTGGGGGAGCTTTCACCCTTACTGATCTTATCACAGCTATGCAGGCTATGGGGGAAACCCAAAGGGAGATAATGGACACTATCAAAGAATTAAAAAATGCTGCTTCCAAGCCGAGCGAAGATGACCGACATCCGCAAGAAGAATCTGCCGTTGCTGGATAGGGGCCTGAACAAAAGGGACCGTCTTTTATCACCCAGGAGGATTGGAAGTACATTCCTCAGCCACCGTACCCAGCAAGCTTACTCCAGCAGCCCTATCCCAAAAGTTACGAAACACCAACCTTTGTTCTTTTCGATGGAAGGAAAGGAAGCCCAAAGGAACATGTCAACCGATTCCTTGATGCTTTGGGGCCACACGCCGGTGATTATAATCTTCGACTCCGAGAATTCTCAAAGAGCCTTACTGATCGGGCTTTTACATGGTACACCACATTGGCACTAGGCTCTATGCGTTCCTGGGATGATTTGGCAAGCAGGTTTTGTAAAAAATATTTCAGCCCGAGGAGAGGGTTACCACCACGCAGCTCAATAACACTCGCCAAAAGCAAGGGGAGGATCCCGTGGACTTTGCGAGAAGATTCCGGGACTTGGCTCTCGATTGCTATGACGAAAAGGGTGAAGAGGCACTTGTTGAGATTTGCATCAGCAACATTATAGCAGACTATAGAGTGTACTTGGAAAATATTGGCATCAGTCAATTTTCCCGGCTGCTGGAAGTAGTAAGAAAGACGAGCATGTCTGTCAAACCGGCTGGACAAAGAAGTTGGAGGAGTGAGAAGAAGGAATCACATCAGATGTTAGCCACAGACGATAAGCCATCTAATGACTACAGCACACGCAAACGAAAGGATAGGGAGACATATCCGCCATTACCTTACAAAGATGAAGAGTTTCAAACCCCTCAAGCCCTACAAGGTTCCCACCAGGAAAGAAAAGAGTAATCCTAGATATTGTCGCTATCATCAGTTTGTGGGACATCCGACCACCGCTTGTCAGAGTTTAATGAGGATCTTACATGGCAAAATACATGAGGGGGTTCTTGAGCTTCCCTCTAGGAAGCAAACTATTGATGAAGACCCTTTGCCGAAACGAAGGGGGAAAGAGACAGTTGCTGTTATTACATGTTCGGATGATTTGCTCGATGATGACGAATTGTGCCAGCCATGGAGGAATGATCCGAAGCCACCGGAGGCCATTTGGGAGCCTTGTGGAAACATGGATAAAGCTTACCGGTGCAAATACTCAAAACCATCAAGCTACGACACGCCATGGCCACTCGCTGATGGATGGAATGGTTGTGCAGACAATGGAGTGTTCATGTTGGACATGCCGGAAGAACAATGCCAGGGAGCCTCGTCTGGACAGTAGGTGTATTGCATAGTTTTAGCCATTGGATTTCACACCAAACCAACCAAATGACTCCTCCCACCATATTATGTTGTTCCCCAAGTTTTGGACTCAATCCGATATCGATTGGTCCATCAAATCGGACTATTCAGGTTCGTAGCAAGTTCGTTCTGAAATGGAGTAGTGGTGTATTGCATAGTTTTAGCCATTGGATTTCACTCCAAACCAACCAAATGACTCCTCCCACCATATTATGTTGTTCCCCAAGTTTTGGACTCAATCCGATATCGATTGGTCCAAGAAATCGGACTATTCAGGTTCGTAGCAAGTTCGTTCAGAAATGGAGTAGTTGGTGTATTGCATAGTTTTAGCCATTGGATTTCACTCCAAACCAACCAAATGACTCCTCCCACCATATTATGTTGTTCCCCAAGTTTTGGACTCAATCCGATATCGATTGGTCCAAGAAATCGGACTATTCAGGTTCGTAGCAAGTTCGTTCTGAAATGGAGTAGGTGGTGTATTGCATAGTTTTAGCCATTGGATTTCACTCCAAACCAACCAAATGACTCCTCCCACCATATTATGTTGTTCCCCAAGTTTTGGACTCAATCCGATATCGATTGGTCCAAGAAATCGGACTATTCAGGTTCGTAGCAAGTTCGTTCAGAAATGGAGTAGTTGGTGTATTGCATAGTTTTAGCCATTGGATTTCACTCCAAACCAACCAAATGACTCCTCCCACCATATTATGTTGTTCCCCAAGTTTTTGGACTCAATCCGATATCGATTGGTCCAAGAAATCGGACTATTCAGGTTCGTAGCAAGTTCGTTCTGAAATGGAGTAGGTGGTGTATTGCATAGTTTTAGCCATTGGATTTCACTCCAAACCAACCAAATGACTCCTCCCACCATATTATGTTGTTCCCCAAGTTTTGGACTCAATCCGATATCGATTGGTCCATCAAATCGGACTATTCAGGTTCGTAGCAAGTTCGTTCTGAAATGGAGTAGGTGGTGTATTGCATAGTTTTAGCCATTGGATTTCACTCCAAACCAACCAAATGACTCCTCCCACCATATTATGTTGTTCCCCAAGTTTTGGACTCAATCCGATATCGATTGGTCCAACAAATCGGACTATTCAGGTTCGTAGCAAGTTCGTTCTGAAATGGAGTAGTTGGTGTATTGCATAGTTTTAGCCATTGGATTTCACTCCAAACCAACCAAATGACTCCTCCCACCATATTATGTTGTTCCCCAAGTTTTGGACTCAATCCGATATCGATTGGTCCAACAAATCGGACTATTCAGGTTCGTAGCAAGTTCGTTCTGAAATGGAGTAGTTGGTGTATTGCATAGTTTTAGCCATTGGATTTCACTCCAAACCAACCAAATGACTCCTCCCACCATATTATGTTGTTCCCCAAGTTTTGGACTCAATCCGATATCGATTGGTCCAAGAAATCGGACTATTCAGGTTCGTAGCAAGTTCGTTCTGAAATGGAGTAGTTGGTGTATTGCATAGTTTTAGCCATTGGATTTCACTCCAAACCAACCAAATGACTCCTCCCACCATATTATGTTGTTCCCCAAGTTTTGGACTCAATCCGATATCGATTGGTCCAAGAAATCGGACTATTCAGGTTCGTAGCAAGTTCGTTCTGAAATGGAGTAGTTGGTGTATTGCATAGTTTTAGCCATTGGATTTCACTCCAAACCAACCAAATGACTCCTCCCACCATATTATGTTGTTCCCCAAGTTTTGGACTCAATCCGATATCGATTGGTCCATCAAATCGGACTATTCAGGTTCGTAGCAAGTTCGTTCTGAAATGGAGTAGGTGGTGTATTGCATAGTTTTAGCCATTGGATTTCACTCCAAACCAACCAAATGACTCCTCCCACCATATTATGTTGTTCCCCAAGTTTTGGACTCAATCCGATATCGATTGGTCCATCAAATCGGACTATTCAGGTTCGTAGCAAGTTCGTTCTGAAATGGAGTAGGTGGTGTATTGCATAGTTTTAGCCATTGGATTTCACTCCAAACCAACCAAATGACTCCTCCCACCATATTATGTTGTTCCCCAAGTTTTGGACTCAATCCGATATCGATTGGTCCAAGAAATCGGACTATTCAGGTTCGTAGCAAGTTCGTTCAGAAATGGAGTAGTTGGTGTATTGCATAGTTTTAGCCATTGGATTTCACTCCAAACCAACCAAATGACTCCTCCCACCATATTATGTTGTTCCCCAAGTTTTGGACTCAATCCGATATCGATTGGTCCAGAAATCGGACTATTCAGGTTCGTAGCAAGTTCGTTCTGAAATGGAGTAGGTGGTGTATTGCATAGTTTTAGCCATTGGATTTCACTCCAAACCAACCAAATGACTCCTCCCACCATATTATGTTGTTCCCCAAGTTTTGGACTCAATCCGATATCGATTGGTCCAAGAAATCGGACTATTCAGGTTCGTAGCAAGTTCGTTCAGAAATGGAGTAGTTGGTGTATTGCATAGTTTTAGCCATTGGATTTCACTCCAAACCAACCAAATGACTCCTCCCACCATATTATGTTGTTCCCCAAGTTTTGGACTCAATCCGATATCGATTGGTCCAAGAAATCGGACTATTCAGGTTCGTAGCAAGTTCGTTCTGAAATGGAGTAGTTGGTGTATTGCATAGTTTTAGCCATTGGATTTCACTCCAAACCAACCAAATGACTCCTCCCACCATATTATGTTGTTCCCCAATTTTTGGACTCAATCCGATATCGATTGGTCCAAGAAATCGGACTATTCAGGTTCGTAGCAAGTTCGTTCTAAAATGGAGTAGGTGGTGTATTGCATAGTTTTAGCCATTGGATTTCACTCCAAACCAACCAAATGACTCCTCCCACCATATTATGTTGTTCCCCAAGTTTTGGACTCAATCCGATATCGATTGGTCCATCAAATCGGACTATTCAGGTTCGTAGCAAGTTCGTTCTGAAATGGAGGTGGTGTATTGCATAGTTTTAGCCATTGGATTTCACTCCAAACCAACCAAATGACTCCTCCCACCATATTATGTTGTTCCCCAAGTTTTGGACTCAATCCGATATCGATTGGTCCAAGAAATCGGACTATTCAGGTTCGTAGCAAGTTCGTTCTAAAATGGAGTAGTTGGTGTATTGCATAGTTTTAGCCATTGGATTTCACTCCAAACCAACCAAATGACTCCTCCCACCATATTATGTTGTTCCCCAAGTTTTGGACTCAATCCGATATCGATTGGTCCAAGAAATCGGACTATTCAGGTTCGTAGCAAGTTCGTTCAGAAATGGAGTAGTTGGTGTATTGCATAGTTTTAGCCATTGGATTTCACTCCAAACCAACCAAATGACTCCTCCCACCATATTATGTTGTTCCCCAAGTTTTGGACTCAATCCGATATCGATTGGTCCATCAAATCGGACTATTCAGGTTCGTAGCAAGTTCGTTCTGAAATGGAGTAGTTGGTGTATTGCATAGTTTTAGCCATTGGATTTCACTCCAAACCAACCAAATGACTCCTCCCACCATATTATGTTGTTCCCCAAGTTTTGGACTCAATCCGATATCGATTGGTCCAAGAAATCGGACTATTCAGGTTCGTAGCAAGTTCGTTCAGAAATGGAGTAGGTGGTGTATTGCATAGTTTTAGCCATTGGATTTCACTCCAAACCAACCAAATGACTCCTCCCACCATATTATGTTGTTCCCCAAGTTTTGGACTCAATCCGATATCGATTGGTCCAAGAAATCGGACTATTCAGGTTCGTAGCAAGTTCGTTCTAAAATGGAGTAGGTGGTGTATTGCATAGTTTTAGCCATTGGATTTCACTCCAAACCAACCAAATGACTCCTCCCACCATATTATGTTGTTCCCCAAGTTTTGGACTCAATCCGATATCGATTGGTCCATCAAATCGGACTATTCAGGTTCGTAGCAAGTTCGTTCTGAAATGGAGTAGGTGGTGTATTGCATAGTTTTAGCCATTGGATTTCACTCCAAACCAACCAAATGACTCCTCCCACCATATTATGTTGTTCCCCAAGTTTTGGACTCAATCCGATATCGATTGGTCCATCAAATCGGACTATTCAGGTTCGTAGCAAGTTCGTTCTGAAATGGAGTAGGTGGTGTATTGCATAGTTATAGCCATTGGATTTCACTCCAAACCAACCAAATGACTCCTCCCACCATATTATGTTGTTCCCCAAGTTTTGGACTCAATCCGATATCGATTGGTCCAAGAAATCGGACTATTCAGGTTCGTAGCAAGTTCGTTCTGAAATGGAGTAGGTGGTGTATTGCATAGTTTTAGCCATTGGATTTCACTCCAAACCACCCAAATGACTCCTCCCACCATATTATGTTGTTCCCCAAGTTTTGGACTCAATCCGATATCGATTGGTCCAAGAAATCGGACTATTCAGGTTCGTAGCAAGTTCGTTCTGAAATGGAGTAGGTGGTGTATTGCATAGTTTTAGCCATTGGATTTCACTCCAAACCAACCAAATGACTCCTCCCACCATATTATGTTGTTCCCCAAGTTTTGGACTCAATCCGATATCGATTGGTCCAAGAAATCGGACTATTCAGGTTCGTAGCAAGTTCGTTCTAAAATGGAGTAGGTGGTGTATTGCATAGTTTTAGCCATTGGATTTCACTCCAAACCAACCAAATGACTCCTCCCACCATATTATGTTTTTAAAAAAAAAAAAAAAAAAAAAAAAAAAAAAAAAAAAAAAAAAAAAAAAAAAAAAAAAAAAAAAAAAAAAAAAAAAAAAAAAAAAAAAAAAAAAAAAAAAAAAAAAAAAAAAAAAAAAAAAAAAAAAAAAAAAAAAAAAAAAAAAAAAAAAAAAAAAAAAAAAAAAAAAAAAAAAAAAAAAAAAAAAAAAAAAAAAAAAAAAAAAAAAAAAAAAAAAAAAAAAAAAAAAAAAAAAAAAAAAAAAAAAAAAAAAAAAAAAAAAAAAAAAAAAAAAAAAAAAAA